GCCTCCACCAGACTGAGTCCAGCACAACTAGATGGTGCCCAGCTACCACCACTGACTGCTCTGACAGGGATCACAATAGAGGGTCCCGAACAGAGCTGGAGAAAAATGTAGAAAAAATTCTAACTTACAAAAAAAAGACCAGATTTACTGACCTGACAAACTGGAGAAACCCCAAGAGTATGGCCCCCAGACACCCTTTTAGCTCGGTAATGAAGTCACTCCTGAGGTTCACCGTTCAGCCAAAGATTAGACAGCGCCATAAAACAAAATGAGACTAATGGGGCACAACAGTCCAGGGACAAGGACTAGAAGGCAGGAGGGTGCAGGAGGGCTGGTAATAGGGAACCCAAGGTGGACAAGGGACAGTGTTGACATGTCATGGGGTTGTTAACCATTGCCGTGAAACAATATGTGTACTAACTATTTAACGAGAAACTATTTGTTCTGTAAAGCTTCATCTAAAGTACAATAAAAAAAATAAAAATACCTAAGTTACTCAGTAAATCTTGTTGAATTGGGCAAAAAAAGGGAAAAACAGTAAAGGAATATGATATTTTATTTTGCCCAATATAATCTACATAATTTTCTAAGATCTAGAAAGGGTGTTTAATGAATAACACCATAAAAGCACATTTTCCTGTTAAAGTAATTAAAATACTCTTTGTTTTAGGAACTGGAACGAGCATGGAGAGAATATGATAAGTTAGAATACGATGTAACCGTTACCAGGAACCAGATGCAAGAACAACTAGATCGACTTGGTGAGGTTCAGGTATGTTGCTTTAACTGGTTTTGACCGGTACTATATAACCCACCTGGTTAGATTCATGTATACCCTTAGAATTTTTGTACTCAGACTAGCTCAGACCCACTTTTGAATACTTTGAATTACAAGGATTGTATATCTCACAATGTAGCCCACCCTCTCATTGTTTTAAAGTTCTTTGTTGCATTGGGTATTTGATGAGCCCTAGAATCTTCTCTACTCCTACATGTCTGAGTTCTGTCACTGAATCCTGTAAATGTGGCTTCATATTCCTCTGAAGTCTTATCTGTATCATTTGGGATTGAGGTATTGATGTATATGAATTTATAAAATAATGGAAATTGTATCTTTTTATGTTCTTTTATTTCTTCTAATCCATTCTGTATTAAATGTATGTCTGTTTTGTCAAATTATAGTTAACCTATTAACTGGACTGACATTATTAGAATAGGGGAAGCTACAGCACTATTTGATATAAAGAATCTGGCTTTGTAAACCAGTAGATCTGGGATCATGTTCCAGGTCTTAGTCTTCTCATCTCTAAAATAGAAATAATAACCCATCTTAAAGTTTTGGAGGAATGGAGATAATATATGTTTTTAAAAACAATAGAAGTCATTTAATGCCTGTGACAGTATATAAATTTGATCATCTTTATTGGAACCCCAGTGGACTCAACAGGCAAATCGGTAAAATGAATAAAAGATAATCAACGAGGTCGACCTATCAAACATGAGCTCTTCTGTATTTGTGCTTTCCATTGTAATAGCCACTAGCCACATGGGGCTGTTGAGCACTTGAAATGTGGCTAGTATGGTTAAGGAGTTGGATTTTTAATTGTATTTCATTTTAATTATTTAAATTTAAATAGCCACACATGGCTGTGACTTCTTTTTAAAAACTACAGTTAAAGCACTGTTAATAATCAACTACAAAAATAAGATATTAAATATAAAAGAGGAAAAGATTGACTCGGCGGCAGCTAACACCAATAACAAGGCTTAACCCAGTGGTCAGCATACTCTCCGTAAGAGGCCAGATATTAAATATTTTAGATGTTGCAGGTACATACACTCTGTCACATATTTTTGTTTGTTTTAGTTTTTATTTTCTTAACTCCTTGAAAATGTAAAATCCATTTTTGGCTCAAGGCCATGTAGAAAGGGACTGTGGGCCACAGCAGTTCACCAGCCCTTGATCTAACTTAACAAAAAATGTTTGTTGTAAAAATGTAATTAAAGGACATTAAGAAGACCTGAATAATAGAGAATTATAATTGGTGTGACATTATCAAGATGAAAATTCTTCCCATACATAGAACTATATTCTTAACCAAATTTCCAGCAGAATTTTCTGGCGAAGTTAACAAAATGATTCTAATATTTTCAAGGTTATAATTAAATCTCATAGATAGTTAATCTATTTTGAGGGGAGAAAAAGGGCAAGTATAGAAGGCATGCTCTATGACATTGCACATGTGGTGTTGGACCAGTTACATAACCACCCTGGGCCTCCGTTTCTTCAGCTTTAAAAGAAAATAAGAGTAGTAGCTACCCATGTTGAGTTATTATGAAGATCAAATGTCTTGATGTTTTTGAAGCACTTAGAGTAGAACCATGCACATAAAACATACTATTTGTTAAATAAATAAGTAAACAAGCAAATATAATACAAAACCATGGTGTTAAACATGGTACAGGGCAAAAATAGACCAATGGAACAGAGTAGAAAGCTCAGCAGCAGACCATGAATACGTGAAAAGTTGGTATTTAATCAGTAAGGAAAAGATACATTAGTTGATGGTATTGGAAAACAGGCTCACTGTATTGATGCCTTGCTCATGCTATATACAAACGTGAACTTCAAATGCATTCGAGACCTAAAGGTAAATAGTAAAATTATAAAGCTAATAACAGGAAGTGTAGAGTGGGGATGGGCTTCTCAAACAAGACCCAAAAAATACTACCCACAAAGCAGAATTGAAAGTGGGAGGATGGGAAAGACAAAAGTGAGGAAGGAAGGAAGAAAAAAGGAGGAAGGGAGGGAAAGAGAAAAAAAATTGTTGAAATTCGACTCTATCAAAATTAAAGATTTCTCCGCAACAGAAGCAATGTAGACAGAGTTAATAGATGGCATACTGGAAAACATCAAAATCTTCCAACTCTAAAATTTAACAAGGGTTTACTGTCTAGATTGGCAAGAAATGTTCTCTTTTTGATGTGTAGAAACAGTCCAATAGAAAAATGGACAAAAAATATGAGTAGGTAATTGATAGACAACTCAAATTGATAACAAGGGTTAGAAAAGTAAAAGATTTTCATTGTATACTTTTCAGATGAGAAAAATGTGTATTTTTTATTGTTAGAAACGTAATGCATATTCTTTATAGAACATGTGCCAGTGTCTCATTTTTGTAGTTGATCTTCTCTCCTGATAAGTCTTTATCAGTATCCACATCTCTGGGCTGTCGTGTTTGGGTCTTGTGTGAGTACTTCCTCCTTTTACTTTCATACTTCTATCCTGTGGCTAGAAAACTACATAACTAAGCTTATGTAGTACTGCCTTTTTGAGGCAGTGTTAGTACATAGTCTTTAGGCTTATACTTTGAGAACTATTTCTACTCTTCTGAGGACTTTTTAAATTTGCTGATGAAATATATCTAATACTTATATAGTCTTCAAAAACTGATATTAAAAATACTTTGCTAGGTAATGTGATAGTTTTTATAGTTTATTACCTCTTTCTTAAATAAAGTTACATTCATAAAATATGGTGTTTACTGTTATCCAAAATATTTATCAGTAAGAGTCATGGAGTGCTAATAAAATCTTAAGAGAAAACCCATTTGATCTTTTTTCTCTGTTTCGGTTGGGATATTTAGTCTGAGGGCGTGATACGGGGTATTAAAAGTAAGAAAGTGGATATAACATAGGCTAGAGAATGGCATTGATAAATTTGGATTCTAAATTTGAAAATTCATCCTGAAAATCTATGTATTTAACTCTATCACTCAAAACTCTTCTAAATGTATTTTTTTAGTGACCGTTTTTTTTTTCTTCTTCTTTTTCTTCCTTTTGGCATTTCCCTTTATGTTCTAGACCTTAGGAAGCTTTCCTTTTTTTTTCCCTAGGAAAGTTATTTTTGTTTGAGTTTGGGGCTTGTGAGGGTTGTTTTGTTTTATTTTGTTTTTGATCTTCTGATCAGTATGATTTTTAAAGATCATAAATAACGTAAGGCAAAGCTTACTTAAGAGCTGACTACTTAAACTACCCATTGGAGATACATGAAATATTTCACTTCAGTTTGAAAAATTAATTTTCTTTCTTTCTCTGCTTAACTTTTATGTTTTCCACTTAAGTTGCAAAATTGGGAGTCATATAGATCATATTAAATATTCTCAAAATTTAATCCATTGCATTTAGAATTCTCATTTATATACATACATATATATATATATATATAATTAGTGGAATTTATGACTTTATTTTATGGTTTCTCTTGTACGTGATTTATCCATTTTATTGATAGACTGAGCCAGCAGGAATTCAACGTGCACAGATTCAGAAAGAACTTTGGAGAATTCAGGATGTCATGGAAGGGCTAAGTAAGCACAAACAGCAAAGAGGCACTACAGAAACAGGTAAATTAGCTTTGTATTTTATTAGGCGGTATTTGGCTACAGTATTATATCTAAATGGAATGGCACGGATAATTGGGTTATTTTATTACTTTAGTGGATGTTTTGACATCAGAAACAAGCACTCTTCTTTATTCAGTCCACACACAAGCAAGCCCTGCCGGTCTCACCCTCACAAAAATAGCCACTGTTTTGTGAGTAAACACACACGTGGTACTTTGGTTTTAGGAATTTTTTTCCCCACAGCAAAAAAATGGGCTCATATTATACTATTTTCCACAATTTACTTTTCCCTCTTAACACAATACAGTGGATTAACTATGATTTATTTATCCATTTCTGTATTGATGGGCATGTAGGTTGTTACTAGTTTTTGCTGCCATACCAGTTGCCATCAGGTTGAAATGGACGTTAATGTACGTATATCGGAACCACATTTAATAGATTCCAGGAAGTGAGATTTCTAGCACACATCTTCCATTTTAATAGGTACAGCCAGATTGCCATCCTGAAGGCTTATATCAAATTACACTTACACCGGTAATATTCGAGGAAAACCATTGGCCCGTACTGTTGTTAAAACTGGATATTTTAATTTCTATTTTTTTTTAATGTAATTGGTTTCAAATCCTGAAAGCATTAACAAATGAGGAATTAAAAATGGAAGGCTTCATTTAAAAGAAGTAAAATGAAATTCTTTTTTTGTTTGTTTTGTTTTTTTTTCTGTAGACTTAGAGAGATGAGTTTAGTATAATCATTTATTTTATAATTTTTTAACAGGTATGATAGGGTCAAAGCCCTTCTCAACAGTCAAGTACAAAAATGAGGTGAGTTTGGATTGTATTTTCAACTATAATGATTTTAAATATTTAATGCATGAAATGAAGTTTTCTCAACTTTGAACAAAAAATGTTTTTTATATATATGCTATTCAGAAGTTATTGTCTTAATCGTGAAATTTTATTGGCTCAGTAATTTGATACGTTAACAAATGTGTTTTTTCTTTCCTTTTCTTAATGCAAAAAAATTGAATCTCCACTTTTATCTGTGTTAGAACTTTAAAATTGTCATACTTTTTTAAAAAGTTAAGTCAGCTGTGTATCATGCATGGCATAAAGAAATTATAGCTGCAAAGAGATACTGTCAACCTAATTGAAAGAATCTTTGGTTTTGAATTTTGCATAAAAACCAATCAAAGAGAACTGTTTCTCCTTTTTTTCTCTTGAATTTGAGAAAAAATTCAATTTTTAAATTGATCCTTTCCTTTTATTTTTAAAATGAAATAAAACAGTTTCATACAGTAGTCTGTTTTGATGTTGAGCTGCAGTGTGAGCCACACCTGTGCATTACAGAAGAAATTGAATACTTCCATATTTAAAACCCAGTTATTGGCTATCGTAGAATTTTTTGGTTTTACTTTTCAGTATGAGACTTTCAGCTTGACAGTGTCCCTTTAATTATCTTAAAGTGAATGTAAGTTAATTTACCATTGAAAAAAATTAGGTATATTTAATTCAATATGCTTATCTAAATAAGGTGACTATTCTACAATCTTTAGGAAGAGGAAGTAGCCCCACCTCGTCCTCCACTTCCTCGGTCCTATGACTTTACAGAGCAGCCTCCCATAATCCCCCCTCTGCCCAGTGATAGCAGCTCCTTGCTCTGTTATAGCAGGGGCCCAGTGCATCTGCCTGAAGAGAAGAAGATTCACCAAGTTCAAGGATATCCAAGAAATGGATCTCACTGTGTAAGTGGCTGCAATAGCCACAGAATAATCAATCATGCGTGCCCTTTCCTTTTTTAAAATTATTTTATTTTGCAGTCAAACCTTTTCTTTAATTATCACCCATTTTTCTTATAACCCTACTTTTAGCCAGTGCTTTTTTGTTTATATATCTAACTTTGTCATGTGTGTTTTTCCTGTTCTGTTTTTACCATTCTCATTTGTTCATGTATTTTCATGATTGTGGTTACTTTATTTTGCCCATCTTGAAGGAGCCAAATTTTAAATATACCATTTCAGGATATTAGAGGCAAATTATATTTTTGGACCAGAAAGATTAGAGAAAGAATGGGATCATCACTAGGAATAATGAAGAGGTTGGGACATGGGCAGTTCGGTCTAGGAGAATTGCTAATGGACGTGGACATTGCCAAGGGGACATGTTACTACTGGAAATCAAAAATACAGTGTTTAGGGTTAAGCAAATAACTATAAAATATAAAAAGCAAAGAGAGGAAAAAAAGAAATAGAGTTTATTTTGAGAGCAACAGAATGTCTGTCTTTAACAGGAATCAGCACTATGATGGATCCTCACTTACTCAGGCCACCTTCTAAATCTGAAAATTTCTTGAGTTCATTTGATATGATTTTTTTAGACTTCAGTTATGCTGTGATGAAAATGTTCTAATGACTTTATCCCTAAAGAGGAATATTCTTAATTTCAGAACCAAAAGTTTTACTAGTTATAATTCTTTCAAATTCTTTTTCTACCTTAGTTATGATGTATGTATAAATTGTGTTACTTCCAAGATAGCTGAGTATGGGGTTGTTAATTTTTAGAATTTGAGATTTTAGACTTTAGAGGTAGACATTTTAAAGGAAAGTTTTGGCTTTTTTTTTTTTTGTTTTTTTTGTAATTACATATCTTCCTTTCAAGGGTCCAGACTATAGACTCTACAAGAGTGAACCAGAGTTAACAACAGTGGCAGAAGTCGATGAGTCTAATGGAGAAGAAAAATCAGAACCTGTTTCAGAAATAGAATCTTCAGTTGTTAAAGGTCAGCATTTGGCATATGTTTTATCTCCTGTATTTTTCAGACATCTTAGCAGTAAATTCATTTTACATATTGTGGACTTACACAAGTCCACAATCCCTTATCTAAAACCTTTGGAATCTGTTAAGTTTCTGAATTAAGTTTTCAGTTATTATGAAAGTACCATGGTTCATCTTGGTTAGAAATAAGGCAACACCCCCTTTTTAAAAACATTAAAATTTCTGGAATACTCATTCTGAGTGGGATAGATAAAGACTATTAAAAAGCTTCACACCCATTCAGGTTAGGTTATGCTGAGAAATAAGTTTACGTCAAACTTTTCAAAAGCTTTCTGTTGTCATAGGATTTTCTTTTCCCCCTATTTCAAAATCGTTCATGAGGAATTAGGAGCTGAAATAAATTTTCACACAGTTCTATAAAATAAATTTCATGAAATAATACTTTTTCTTCCTATGTGCACTCTGACCTTTTCTTTAAATGCGAGTCATACTTCTAGAAATCAATGTCGTGAAGAAAAGAGTAGGATGGAGGAAGACTATTCCAGATTGAAAAGATAAAGCCAAATATAATTCAGTGCTGAACCTTGACTGGCTCATGTTTCAAAGAAAAAGCTCTTGAAGACATTCTTGGGACAATTTTGGAAATTTGAATATATTCTAGATACTAGATAACAGTAGATGTTTTCATTATATTGTAGTTATGTCGGACAATGTGTTAAGTGAATTCTAAACACGAGAAACGTGTCTGCAACTCACTTTCAGGTGGTTCACCAAGAAAAGTGTGTGTGTGTGCGCGCGCGTGTGTGTGTGTGTGTGTGTAGATGTACTTATATAGAGATAAAACAAATATGGCAAGATGTGATATTTTTTAGAACAAAAAAATGCTGCTCATAACCCACTAGACTGAATTTTATAATCTGCTAAAGGGTCACATATACAGTTTGAAAAACTCTTTAAGTGGTAATGTTCACATATCTTTTTCCAAAATGGGAACTTTTTTTTAAGTCATCTAATGTCAATTTGGAGCCCTGGTGGCGTAGTGGTTAAGAGCTTGGCTGCTAACCAAAAGGTCGATGGTTCAAATCCACCAGCTGCTCCTTGGAAACCCCATGGGGCAGTTCTGCTCTGCCCTGTAGGGTTGCTATGAGTCGGAATCGACTCGACAGCAATGGGTTTGGTTTTTGTTTTTTTTTTTTTAATGTCAATTTTGGAAGTTCTGGTGACGCAGTGGTTAAGAGCTCAGTAGCTAACCAAAAGGTCGACAGTTCAAATCCACTAGGCACTCCGTGCAAATTCTATGAGGCAGTTCTACCCTGTCCTGTAGGGTTGCTATGAGTCAGAATCAACTTGAAGACAATGGGTTTGTTTTTTGGTAATGCGAACTTTTTCTTTAGAAAAGTACTGAAATCTTGAAAACTTTATATTTATACACCTTTCTGTTTCTTATCCAAATCATATTGTCTCCTCTTTGAAAGTCTTTATTACCTTCTTTCCTGTTCATACAAAATATAAATTAAATACTCATAGTCTCAATTCTCATCTTATTGGTGCAGGTTATTATACATTCCAGAAAAATCACAATGCAAACAAACGATAATCTTTTTGGCAATCTGTCAAACTAGATACCCTGACCACCACTCCTCCCACAGAAAACGATGGTAAATGCTGGTAAACGTCATTTTAATTTTTTTCTTTAAAAGAGCATCACCAAGTTGGGAAAAAGTAAATAAAGGAATTGCCAGAGGAGATAAACTACATGAAGGACGGAACCAAGAAGTTAAAGGAAACAGCAAAGCCAGGTTCACCTTGTGACAGGACAGAGCTCAGAGCCTAAACAAATTATGAGTCTGATAGGAGATCTCTCAAGTAAGCTGGGCGCCTCAGAGGGCTGTACTCTGAGTGAAAACTGATCAATGGACTTTTTTGAAGTCCCTTTAAAACTTCATGTATAAAGAACTCCTACAAGTCAGTAATAAAGACAAACAACCCAGTAAAAAAGTGGACAAAAGACTTGGACACTTAACAAAGTAAGATCTACAATGATAAGCATATGAAAAGTTTCTACCCTTATTAATCATAAGGAAATGCCAACTAAATGCACATTAAAACCACAATTCACTCTGTCTAAAATGGCTAAACTTAAAAAGACTGAACATACTAAGTGCTAATTAGGATACAGAACAACTGAAATTCACATTTCTGGTGGTGGCGTAAAATGTAACAAGTGTTCAACAGCTTTTTATAAAATGAAATATGCAATTATCGTATGATCCAGCAATCTATTCCTATATATTCACCTGAGAGAATGAATACATTCCTCAAAAATACTAGTACAAGAATTTTTATAGCAGCTTTAGTTCATAATACAATGAATTCGAGCATGCCTGTTACCATGAGAATGATACAGGACCGGGCATAGGTTTGTTCTGTTGTACGTAGGGTCGCCATGAGTCAGAGCTGTCTTTATCTGTAATTCATAATGGAGAAAAACTGGGAACAACTCATATATCTATCAGTAAATAAACAAATTGTGTTATCTTCAAACAATAGAATACTCCTCAGCAATTTTTAAAAAATGAACTATTAATTAATGTACAGCATGTATGAATCTCCACAACATGTATGAATATAAAAAAAAAATTACAGTGAGTGAAAGAAGCCCAAAACAAAAGAAGTAATAGTGAATGATTCCGTTTCATGAAGTTTGAGAAAAGGCAAAGATTGGTGTCTGTTGGTGACAGACATCAGAACAGTCGTTGCAAAGCGTGGGATTGACTGGAAAGGAGCTTTTTGGGGTGATGGTGATGGTCTTTATCTAAATTCGGATGCTTACACAGGTATATACATTTGTTAAACCTCATCAATTGTACCCTTAAGATCGATGCATTTTAGTATACATTTTACCGTAATAAAAGAAGGGAAGGATAAAGACAAATAAAAACTGAGAGTTTGCCACTTCTTGACCATCACTTAAGAGTTCTGCATTACTTCAGATAGAAGGAAAATTGATCAGATGCAGAAGATCTGAGAAGCTAAAAGGAATGAAAGAAAATAGTAAATATGTGGGTAAACCAAAACAAACACTGACTGTATATTGTTGTTCTTATTCTTGTAGTTAAAAACATAATGCATGGTCATGATATAAAATTCAAGGAGTATACAACATTTGTGGCAGCAAGAATATATTCACATAGCAAATAAGCATACGAAAAGGAACTCAGGCTTTTTGGGCATCAGGGAAATGCAAATTGAAACCACAGTGAGGTACTACTACACGTACACCAGAATGGCTAAAGACTGACAATACCTTTCTTAATTACGTAACTGTTCTGAGTAGTATTTCAGTTGGTTTCACTTGGATTTTCCAGATACACAGTTCTATCATAATTATAATTCTCCTTTCTCCTTCCTAAATTTTATAACTCTTACTTCCTTTGCCGGAGCTAGTAGCTCCATAATAGCGTTAAGATATAGACGATTTAATGGACATCTTAATTCTGTTCCTGCTTTTAATGGAAATGGCTCTAATTTTTTCCCATTGATCGTGATACTGGCCTTGGTTTGGGATATCTACATTTTATATTATGGAAGTATCTATTTATTCTCATGAAAGGATATTGAATTTATTAAATGTCTTTCTTAATGCTTCTATTTTCTCTTATTATTAATGTAGTGAGTTATAATTTATGTGTTTACTAATAAGCCTTACTTAATCAGGGTATATTTTTCCTTTAATGGACTGCTAGATTCTATCCAATAATGATTTATTTCAGATTTTTGCATTAATTTTTATAAATAAGATTGTTGTGTAATTTTTTACACTCTCTTCACGCCCCCAAAAAAAGAAACTAGATTGATTGATCAGGACTCTAGCTTTTCTTAAAAGTTCAAAAGATCTGGCCAGACTGCCCCTGTTTGCCAACAGCACTGATCTGCTGAAGCTGAGTAGGATATGGAGAGAGAAAGAGAGATGCCATTTGTCACGTGTGACATTATTAATCCCTGTGGGCATCTGAATTATAGTCTCTTCTTTAGGGGAAGTGTTTGAAGCATATATACAATAAGAACTGTGTGTTTCATTCTTTTAATTTTGCATTTTCTATTCCATTCTTTTTGGGGGCCCCTACATAGTCACAATACCCCATGATATTGAATAAATGTAACTGATTAAGTTTACAAAATGTAGAAATTATTTAATGAGTGATTATGTAAAGTGCTTTTAATTCACTAATAGGAATTTAATTGACTTGGAAAAAGTGAAGTAGATTAGCTATTATTCTTTCCACTGATGCATATATTCACTTGTCATCTGAAATACCATGTACTCTCATGTGATTTGAATTCTTCTGGAAGTTTTACTGTTTTAAAAGTTGTTTGTTTGCTGTTATTGTTTTTCTTCCCCCCTCCCCGCCATTTTTAAATAATATAATCATAGGATCTCTTCTAAATAAATGTCTGAAATACACCAGTCAATTATGGTGCATTTTTTTGTGCCACATGACTTTAAGTAGGATTTTTTTTAAAGGGCCACTAAATAGCATAAGAGTGCTTTTTCATTGTTTGAATTGCAGAATTACCTGTTCAGCTCAAATGTACAACTGTGTAATAAATATACTCAGAGTTCATAAACAACATTAAAGCTTAATCAAGCTGTAGGAACCTAAAGAGGCCCTAAATGGTTGATCTACTGTTTGTCTTTAAAAAAAAAAAAAGACTTATTTTTTTCTGCTTACACACTTAAAAATTATTGTTCTTAACTGATGTAACTTTAAGTAAGCTCAAAGAGAATGAGGTTTTTTTTTAACAAAACCATTGTGATCTTTATGTGTTCTTTTACTGATATCTTTAGTAAGAGACACTCACAGGAAGATTGTATATATTCTGTTTACACAAGATGGCAACCATTTGAAATTCCACTAGTAAAATATTTCAAATTTAGAAATTACTTGGTCTGAATACATTTTATATGTTAATTTACTGTTAGTTTTTATTATGTTAATAATATACTTATTTATTGGTTTGTTTTCTATATAAAGTGGTATATGTTCATGTTAGGAATTTTGAAAAATACAGAAGAGAACATGATGATGGCTGCCTATAGGTAACTATTGTTAATATCATTGTTAGTAGGTTTTTTATTGAGAAAGAAATTAAGATAATTTAGGTAAATCACTTAAACTTTCTGAACCATTAACTTGACTAATCTGTAGTTTGTGAGAGGATTGAACTGAGGTCCTTCCAACTTCTCACAATGTTATGAACACCTCGTGAAGCAGAGCAGCAGTGGAAAGAGCTAAAGCAGGAGCTGTAACCACACTATAAGTGAGTTTATGGACATGAGAAAATAAATTAACTCGTATATGCTGCACTTCAAGGAGCCCTGGTGGCACAGTAGTTAAGCACTCAGCTGCTAACCAAAAGGTCAGTGGTTCAAACCCACCGGCTGCTCCGAGGGAGAAAGATTTGGCAGTCTGCTTCCATAAAGACTACGATCTTGGAACACTATGGGGCAGTTCTATAGGGCCGCTATGAGTTGGAATCAATTCAACAACAATGGGTTTGGGACTGGTTTGGTGTGGTGCACTTCATTTACCTTCTTTATCTTCTTCACAGGATTCTGTTAGGATATGTAATCCATTAAGTATTGTGAGGATATATGATCCATGAAGTAAAAAAAAGGCTACTTCAAAAGTAAATTTAGAATAGCAGAGACATCAGTCCAACAAGAGAGAATTTTATAATTATTTTTCGATGTTATTAATGTCATCTGTTAATCTGTAGAACATTATTTCTGAATTAACCCTCAATTTGTCTAGTAATATCATTGGCTGATTTATTAGGTAAACTAATGAGTTGTTACTACCTTTTTCCTGGCTCTTTTCATACAGTTAATTTTCCTTCTGAATTTAAAAGCCTCAGAAACTGAATATGTCAATAGAAAGCAATGTTCTATGAAAGATGTCTTGAAGAGCGTTCTGCTATTTTAATTTTTAGGTTCCCACTTTCCTGTTGGAGTAGTCCCTCCAAGAACTAAATCACCAACACCTGAATCTTCGACAATAGCCTCATATGTAACCTTAAGGAAAACTAAGAAGATGATGGATCTAAGAACGGTATTTAGCTGGAAATTAATTTCTAGAAAGCTTCTCAAAGCTATTCAGAGCATCCTTATATGCATTTCCATTTCTAGTGTTTTGTCAGAAATTTTTTACGTAGTCTAAGAAAAACTTAATAATCTTAATTGTTAAGAATACAGTTAAGTAATTAACACTTCAAAGAGTACAGATTTAGTCAATAACTAATTCTGGGTTTCTTTTGACTAGCTAGGTGTGGAATTTGTTTCCTTACAGCTGTACTGTACCCATCTAAAAATTTTCCTTCATTCCTCTAAAAATTTCCTTTGATGAGAGTGATAGACATGTCCTCTGGCTCCTCAAAAGTTTCTTTTTTTGTAAAAGTGTACGTGCTTTATTGTGTAATAAATGAGGATCATCATCAATTCTGCATATTAAAACTTTTCATTGTCCTCTTTTCCTTTTAGTTTCTTCTTGAGCTTTTTAAGATGTTTATGTTATACAGTAGAAAACAGTCCCAGACCTGTAACTCACATCTTTAGAAAGAAAGTGAGAAATAAGAATTTCTTGTGTAACGTGACTAATATTTTTAAGGCCTTTAGTTGATATAACATGAACTGGAAGCAAATAAGGAAAACCATAAAAATGAACCAGAGATAAGTAGTAGGTAGGTGGGTGAGTGAGTGGATGGACGCATGGATGGATGGATGACGTTTTCAAACAGGAGAGTGAGATTTATAAGAAACATATTTCTTATTTTATTATTGATGAGAAAATATCTTAGGGTGTTTCCTCTATTAGTCTTTTCACAGTTGATGTGTGATTTAAAGCATTACATTTACATTAAACGTAAAATCTCTGATATTTAGAAGATATGCTTCCTTGCTTCTTCCAGTTTGAGATATGTACACTAGCAGCTAACAATAGGAATCTTCCTGCTTCCGAGCAGTGGATTAGACTACTGGACCATGTGGAATAAGCTCACTTCAGAGCTGCCATACCCTTTTCTGACTTGTTTTTTGTTGTTGTTTACAACAAAATACCCTTGCTAAGTGCCTCTTCTCTCTCTCCCGTATTTCTCTCCCTTTCCATCATTGACCATACATCACCAATTCCCAGTTAAGGATAAAGTAACTTTGTTTGCTTTTCTGGTTTTCGCTAAGTGGCATTCAGAATTTCCACTTTTTATTTTGAAAACAAAATAAAGCATTTTAGGACGTGTTTATTCCATCATACTTTTCATTCTTATGTATTCATGTGTTTATTTTTAATTTGAAGGAACGACCAAGAAGTGCAGTAGAACAGCTCTGTTTGGCTGAAAGTGCTCGACCTAGGATGACTGTAGAAGAGCAAATGGAAAGAATCAGGAGACATCAACAAGCATGCCTAAGGGAAAAGAAAAAAGGGTTAAATGTTATTGGTGCTTCAGACCAGTCACCCTTACAAAGCCCTTCAAATTTAAGGGATAATTCACTCAGGATTACCCAGGTATATCAGTTGCTTATGATTGTCCTTGTGTGTAAATCTACCATCACTTGAATCTTAGAATCAATCATAGAGTTACATCATCGATGGATTTTTAAAGGTCTATCGTATGGATAAGGAGCCCTAGTGGCACAGAGGGTAAAACAGTTGACTGCCGACCAAAAGGTTTCTGGTTCGAAACCACCAGTGGCTCCATGGGAGAAAGATGTGGCAGTCTGCTTCTGTAAAGAATACTAGCCTTGGAGAAATTAATCGGTCACAAAAGGACAAATATTGTATGAGACCACTATTACAAGAACTCAAGAAAAGGTTTAAACACAGAAGACAACATTGTTTGATGGTTACGAGGGTAGGGAGGGAGGGAGAGGGGAATTCACTAACTAGATAGTAGACAAGAATTACCTTAGGTGAAGGGAAGGACAACACACACTAGTCAGCACCACTGGACTAAACCAAAAGCAAAGAAGTTTCCTAAACGCAACTAAACACTTTGAAGGACAGTGTAGCAGGGGCAGGGATCTGGGGACCATGGTTTCAGAGGACATCTAGGTCAACTGGCATAACAAAGTTTATTAAGAAAACGTTGTGCATCCCACTTTGGGGAGTCGCATCTGGGGTCTTAAAAGCTAGCGAGCAGCCATCTAAGATGCATCAGTTGGTCCCAACCCACCTGGAACAAAGAAGGATGAAGAACACCAAACACACAAGGAAAATATTAGCCCAAGAGACAAAAGGGTCCACAGAAACCAGAAACTCCATCAACCTGAGACCAGAAGAACTAGATGATGCCTGGCTACTGCCAGTAATCGCCCTGACAGAGAACAGAACAGAGTCCCCGACAGCGCAGGAGAACTCAAAATTCTAGTGAAAAGATCAGACTTAATGGTCTGACTGAGACTGGAGGAACCCCAGAAGATGTGGCCCCCAAACTCTCTGTTAAAACCATTCCAGAAGCCAGCTCTTCAGACAAAGAATAGACTGGACTGTGAGACGTAAAATGATACTTATGAAGAGTGTGCTTCTTAGTTCAAGTAGATACATGATACTAAATGAGTAGCTCCTGTCCAGAGGCGAGATGAGAAGGCAGAAAGGGATAGGAGCTGGTTGAATGAACACAGAAAATCCAGGGTGGAAAGGAGGAATGTGTGGTCGCATTGAAGGGATAGCAACTAGGGTCACGTGACAATGTGTATAAATGTTCGTATGAGAAACTAACTTGAGCTGTAAACTTTTACCTAAAGCACAATTTAAAAAAAAAGAATAATAACCTTGGAAACCCTATGGGGTCATTATGAGTTGGAATCAACTCGGCAGCAGTGGTGTTTGGGTATAGTATCGATAGTTATGTTATTTAATTCTTTTAATAAGACAGCTTAGTAAAACGGAAATAACCCTGGGTTCAAGAGACCAGAGCTGAATTACTTGTTGGATGCCCTTGCACCAACTGTGGACTCAGTCTCCTCAAGTGTACATCAGGTATTAATACAGTGTGCCCTGCCTACAGCACAGAGATATGAAGAATATAAAAGTGTTTTCAACAAATGTAAAATGTGCACGTGAGTTACTAAGATAGCCCCAAATTCCCCTCCCAATAAAATGTGCATTGTTCTGTGTCCTAGTTTAACATGACTGAATTGTAGCCGGAGAGGATTTCTAAAAGAAGTTCTGGCAGTTTTTGCTGATTCTTTGTCTTTGGGGTACTTTTCCCCTGAGAACCCAAGTCACTGTCCACATATCAACCTCAGCCTTGTCAGATGACACCATGCTGTTTCCTGTTGCTTGCTTGTTGCCCCTCTTCATAAATGCAGAGAGAGCCGACTAGTGAACCTTTCCAGTAGCTCCTGTGTGGTCCACTGTTAGTAGACGGTTTGTGCCTACTAGTAGTATCTGAGAGTTTATCTGTAGTGACCTAACCTGGATGCACCAGCTGAAAGTCCTTCCGTGTCGTCCTAGAAATCCCCTTCCCGTCTAATCAAGAGCAGGCATTGCTAATGGAGATTCAGCAGAGCAACAGTTGAATAACTGAACATTTTACAAATTGCAAAATGGATGATTAAAAATGAGGAAAATATATGGAATACTGCTATATATATATGAACAAAAAACAAACCCATTGCCAATGAGTCGATTCCGGCTCATAGCAACCCTACAGGACAGAGTAGAACTGCCCAGAGTAGAGCTTAAGGTTTCCAAGGCTGTAAAATCTCTACGAAAGCAGACTGCAAAATCTCTCTCCAGTGAAGCAGCTGGTGGGTTCAAACCACTGACCTTTCAGTTAGCAGTTTAACCACCATGCCACCAGGGCTCCTACATATATTATACATATATATACACACATATATTATTTTGCTCTGTTGATTTCCACAGGTTACCCTCAGGAGTGGAGATTCAGTTGTTCTTTGTTTTATTTTGTTTTCAAATTGACCGGTATTATGTGTAAAATAGGAGTGCTGGTGGTGCAGTGGTTAAGAGCTCAGCTGCTAACCAGAAGGTCAGCAGTTCGAATCCACCAGCCACTCCTTGGAACCCCTATGAGGCAGTCTACTCTGTCCTATAGGGTCGCTATGAGTCAGAATCGACGACGACAGATTTGATTTTTGGGGTATGTGTAAAATATACGTGCATGCACAGTATGAATCTAAAAATGCTGTCTGTCTTTTCGGCAGATTCGAAGGAGGGATGACTTGTTATCAGGTAGCATTAAGGAACCGGACACTCTCATTAGAGAAGATGATGTGAAGCCAAACCATGAAATTCCTGCAGCAGAGATTGTCCGACTAAAAGAAGCTGAACCTCAAAATACGGACTTTAGCGAAGAGGTAGAGAGATTATTTCAGTACAGATATTCCTAAAGGGGTAAATTTTTGAAGATTAGGTCACGTGGTAAGGCTGAAAATAAAATGTATTACATTCAGTCACAGTCCATAGAACTAAATGAAATGATAGGTTTCATTTCATTTGATTAATGTATTCAGCCACATTTAAAAAAAGGGTTAATTGAAAATTTAAAACATGATCAATCAAGGCTGGAATAAATTGCTGTTAACTCAGATAACCTTATACTCTGAAGCAGCCAGCTCTTAGCAATGTGCATCATCCCTTTGAGCAAATAACATTTGCCACCTAGTAGTGCAGAATGTTAGCTATTTTTAATACATTTGAATATAAATTTATTATCAGTAAATACTTGGGAATGGTATATTTTTATAAGAAAATAAAGGGGCTTGGTGGTGCAATGGTTAAGCACTCAGTTGCTAACCGAAAAGTTGGTGGTTTGTAGCCACCCAACGGCTTCACAGGAGAAGGACCTGCTCCCTCCCGTAAAGATTACAGACTAGAACATTTTATGGGGCAGTTCTACTCTGTCACATGAGGTCACTATGAGTCGGAATCAATTCGACGGCACCTGACAATAATGTTTTTTAATAAGTTTTTTAATTTGGGAATCATTTTATATTTACTAATAAATATTAAATGTGGTAAGAATGTTGTGAAAAAGAAAAGTTTTCTTCTTATTCTACAGGTCAGTAAAACTGAAAGTGTTATTTATGAAACACTTTTCAAACCTGAGCCAAATGGAGTAAAGTCTGAGGAACTGATGGATAAAGAACAAAACAAGGAAAAAATGCCTGAGGATATTTCATACAGGTAATTTAAAAGTGGGGGGGGGGATCATTCACAAAATTGTGTAGCTGCTTAAAAATGGTGAATTTCAGAGTCAGAAAGTCTTGGATTCCAGTCCCAGTTTGTATATTAGAAACTACAAGATCTTGAGCAAGTTGTATAACCTTCCTAAGCTATAGGTGGAGTCCCTGGGTGGTGCAAAGGGTTAAGGTACTTGGCTGCTGACCAAAAGATTGGTGGTTTGAATCCACTCATATGTGCCCTGGAAGAAAGGTCTGGCAATCTGCTTCGGAGAAATCAGTCATTGAAAACTTATGGAGTACAGTTCTACTCTGACTTACATGGGGTCGCCATGAGTCAGAATCAACTCGATGGTAACAAAAACAACAATGCTTATAGGTTCCTCACTTGTGAACATGGGGATAATAATAGTCTCTATCTCACAAGTGCTTTGTAAGGATTAAATAAAGTATGTACAGGACTTAGCACTGTGCTTAGTATTTAGGAAGTATTCAGTAAATGATACCTTTATAAAAAGTGCTGAAGGGCACATTAAGCTATAGCAAAGTAACATCTCAGCATTGTCCACATTATGATAGAAGTTGATCAGAAGTCTGTATTGTCTGTGACAGTTGCTATTTATTTTTTAGCTGCATTTCTTAATTAGCTTTCTTTAGTCTACATCCTCAATCCTAGCCTCTGAAAAAAATTTCCTGTTCTAGAAAAGAGAAATGCTGTGATTTAATGTTACTAAGAATGCCTTTATCTGTTCGACGAATAGCAAGATGGAATTTGAAAAGTATTTGGCAAGAAAAAAAAAATGAGTTCATAATGATTCAACAACAACAAAAAATCATTTGTTGGCCACTTTGGAGGATGCTAGGGAGTCATCTTATTATGAGAACTGGTACATAAAGAGAACGAATCAAGTACTTATCTTGCCTTTCCTGAACAAACTGTAACCGAATAGTTTATGAAGAAATTTTTTGTTTTTAGAAGAATTTTATTATCCCTGCTTTGCTAACCCTAATGAAATAGTGGGTCTGGGCAATGTTCCCCAGCTAATAGTTTAAAGCCATTAGCTGAAAATTTGATGGGGACAGAAAACAACAAATGCTCGCGAGGTTGTGGGGAGATTGGAACTCTTATGCATTGCTGGTGGGATTGTAGAATAGTACAACCACTATGGAAAATGGTATCACACTTCCTCAAAAAGCCAGAAAGAGAAGTATCTTATAATCCAGCAGTCCTACTCCTAGGTATATATCCAAGAGAAGAACAGTGACACAAATAGACATATGCACGCCCATGTTCATTGCAGCATTATTCACAATAGCAAAAAGGTGGAAACAACCTCAGTGCCCATCAACAGATGAATGGATAAACAAATTGCAAAATGGTGGAAACAACCTCAGTGCCCATCAACAGATGAATGGATAAACAAATTGCAAGATGGTGGAAACAACCTCAGTGCCCATCAACAGATGAATG